ATAAAAATGTTTATTAAATGATTTAGTCTGATAAAAATGATGAAGGTTCAAATTTTGAATATTATTTTTAAAAAATTCGCTAGTCATAGGGATATATATTACTAGGTCACATTTCTGTACATAAAATCATTTATATTGATTGGCATATTGCTATTGCTTAAATTTCAATTATCTAAACAAATTGAAAGTTATATCTGTTCTCATTTTTTGCAATTCTTATTGAAATAACACAGTGTTATCAATTTTCTTTTTTGCATTATTTAGCCAAAATAATTAAAATTGTCATTTTTAACTTACTAAGTTTTTATTTAATATTTTGATTTATAGTTTATATATGCAACAGCATGAAAAATGCTTTGATATTCAAAAAAATATTAAATTTAACAGAAAAAACACTGTTTATTGTTTGAAATTGTCTGCCTGGTACTATTAACATGTTTAGTATGGTAGTTATGATTCCGGGACTAAACGAAACCAACTTTCCGGGGTTTTTTTGCAAGGTATCAGTTGTTTTGTTGGAATTTTTCGGGTGTAGTTTGTTGATACGTCATTTTGAAAGAAAATAGAATGTTTTTTAGGTTTTTTATTTAATTATTAATATTTATACTTAAATAGAAAATCTAGAAATCATCGACAACTAGTTTAAAATTTCAGATAGGCATAAATAGATTCTTTTTTTTTGTTTTAAAGCAAAAATATGACTATAACATAAAGTTATTTGCTAATTTCGTGATACATGTAATAAAAAATACAAAATTAGTATATTGCAATTGAATTTCTTTAGATATTACATATGATACAATTATTAAGCATGAAAAGATAACAGAGAATGTTTAAAACAATAAAAATTACATCTTTAATTTATAAAAATATTATAGTTTTGGTGCCGAATAACATATTTTTTTTATAAAAATAGAATATAGACATTGAACGGATTTGAATAAATAGATTATAAGTACAAAAAAAATTATATTTAAGATATATTAATATATAATTTGTAATTTAATTTATATTTAATTTCTAAAAATAATTGAGAATGTGATCCTTTTATGCAATTTTAATTTAATATAAATTTTTAATCCTTACATACTGTTAGCCTCATTACAAATTAAGTAAAATAAAACAAAAAAAGCTTTATTTGTAAACAGCCATGTATATCAATATTTTGGATAGTCTGGTTAATTAATTGTCTTTAATTTTATTCTTTTGCATTGACATATTTTTCAATCCTTTTCTGGTTAATAATAGTGATCTTAAAACCGTATTTTTCGATGAGATTTTTTGTTTACAACTTGATTAGGCCATTGCGAATCTTACATGATCATTTTGTAATTCTCGTAACTTGATTCTTTTCAGATAACATTGTATATTGTAATATTTATTTAGGGTTATACACTGTTTCTAAAGCACCATATTGCTACTTTTAACAAGTCATACTTATGAAAATAATAATTTAATTGTGTTTTTATAATACTAAAATATATATTGCCAAAATATGGAACTTATTTTTTTATTTCGAAAATAAAAAATTGTAAATTAGATTTTAATATGACATCGAAGCTACTTTTAATTGCTTGATGAATCTTCTAGTTTAATATGGTATATAAAATTGTGTATTTTTCAGTGGAATTCCGTGATAAAACACTATTTTTTTTTTATGAAAACCTATGTTTTCTTGATATAAAATACAAATCATTATTCATTTCAATGTTAACTATTCTTTGTTGAATTTTTTATAATGTTTTTGGTTTTAAACATAAAACATTCAGAATTACTTTAAAAATAACTCTATATTAGAATATAAACTTGATATCACATTTATATTAATAGTTTATCAATTTGAAAAAATAAAGATATAAATTATATCAGCTTCAACTATTAAGTATTATTTTACGCTACGTTACTACTTTTTTTGGAAGGCTTTGGCCAGAAAATTTAGTCTGTTATATAAATGACATTTACAATCTTTCGTTTTTATTTATTTGCACTTTTGTTGTATTATGAAAAAAGTTTTGGTGGTTTCGAATGTGTTATTAGCCATTTTTTGTCGACTAAGAGAATTCTATCATAATAAGCATTGTTAGCGATGCTATAAAATATTGATGATAATTAAAGAATATAAAAAAAAGAAAATTTAAAAATCAACATAAGATACATGTTTGCAAACATATAAAATTTACTCTATAAACCATAACTGTTTATTTACAATATATCTCATTCGACATATGGTATTGGGATACTAGTATATTTAATTTGAAATTTTAAAAATACTGATTACAAAAATAGGCCTATGAAAATTATTTTAATCGATTCAAAACGTTTCTACCTTAAAATTTATGAAAAAGTGTAATTATCCTTTTTTCAAGCCACAATTTTTTTTTGTAATGCATATTTTTTATGATTCTAAGAAATATATTGTTATTATTGCTTTGATTGCTAAAAAAATTACCAATCGGTTTTATAATGACCATTAAATTTCTTTTATATATATCTATAAAACGGCAAATTTATGTTAAACTTATAATAATTTATTATAACTTCTTATTATCATAGAAAGCCCCAGAATTTTTTTTTAAACTGCTGTTAAACAAGTAAAAAAAATTGTTTGATCATAAGATGCATCAATTAAATTATTTAAAAACTTCTTTTTTTGAATAGAATGTGATGTTATTGTTTATTTGTACCTTATTATATATTCTATGCATTAAAAAAAGATTTAAGAAGGTTTTTAAAATATTCTATAGAGTTTAGAGAAGCATATCTTCAAATTTTCATGTTTTCTTATAGAAATGCATGTTTATTGGATGAAGTGGTGTTTTTTATATTAAAAGGTGAATTGAAATGTTATTTTGAAATCGCATTTTTTTTATTTAGAAGCTGTATTTATAACTAAACTCACCAAATACGCACCAATCAAGAACTTAAAATACTTGTTTGAGAAAACACAAAACTTTCATTATATTTAAATGTCAACTCTATTTGCACTTCACATTTTTTCCGTTTTTTTCTAAATTAATAACCAACAAAATTTTTTTTTAAATTTCTTTTTTAAAAATTAAAAGTGATTTGTTACATATGAAATTTGATCTTTAATATCATAAATTTGACATAAACAAAACATTGGTATATTTTCCAATAATCTATTTCGAATATATGAAAAAAATTTGCAAACATAATAAACAACAATGATATTGAATTTTTAGATAACAAATTTAAAATGATTCCGAAATACAATTTTTATGATAAGTAATTGTATAATGTAGTCGAAAATCTAAGAAAAACAAAACATTTAAGACTATTCTGCATATTGTTGTAAAAATGATGTTTCATAAACCAAAAATTCTTTTGTTGCAGCACTCATCAGTTGCTTTCTAAATTGCTATATTAATTTTGAATCAAAACCAATCATAGTAAATAATTAAAAAGTAGTGAATTGTACAAGTATACACAATTATATATCAAAAAATAGGATATATTAAAGCGATAGATAAGAAGCATCAAGAAAATACATAACATCCTAATTGATGTTTTATTTTTACGATTTTCTTATTAACATGCGTTTGAATTCAGAAATTGTGATGGATCTAAATTTAACATATTTAAGCTTATAAAGTAATAAAAATATTCTACAAAAAAATTAGAAAGATATTTAGATACAAGATATATATGAACATTGAAAAAATAAAATAATATTATCGCCTTTGAATTAATCTATGGTATTTAAATATTATTTATAATGAAAATGTTGTTTGATAACTGTACTAATAACAGCAAGGATCTTCAATTTTTTTCACTATCAAACTTTTTTGTTATTATATCCACATAATAATGTGTTTTGTTTTTAAATGTTCTGGCATATTTTAAAATCTATAAACTTCAACCATAGAATCGGTATTAAAAAGCATAATAAGGTATAAACTTAATAGTATCAATAATTTTATTATATATGATGTTTTTTACAAATAATTATTTTTTTACAATGCTATACGATAGCATATTTCTCTTGTTGAAAGCTTTTTCGCTAAAAAGAACATTTTTAGCACTTTCACAAAAGTAAATAAACTTTTTTTATGTTTTAGAGCTAATATAACTTGTTGGTGCTATTTACGCATTTACGTTTTTCAATTGCAATTTTAAGGATTTTTTGCTTTTTTTTTATGTTGTGTTAAAAACTCATGGTGGTAATAATACGCATTTTAATTCTTTGCCAGAGAAAAAAACCATGTTATAAAAATACAATAAAAATAAATATATTTTATATATATTTAATCAAATTTAGAATATCCATTGTTTTGTCTGTGTGTATAAGAAGATTTTAAGAATGTTTTTAAATATAGTGAGATTTAATTTAAAATATATAAATTTATATTCATGTAAAACAGCCAAAAATCTTTGTATCACAGCTTTGTTGAAAAGTATGTAATTTTGAATGTTTATTGTATTATTCTGTTCTTCAGATGAAAACATAAAAATTTTCTATATATTATTTAGAATCTTTCTTAAAGGTGTGAACAATAACGGTTACGGTAACATTTTTAAATCGTAAAAATTATCAACTTGCTCGCTATTTTCCTATTTTTGTTTAGAACAAAGAATTAGGAAACTCGATAATATATGCAAAGCCTAAATTTTATTAAAATTTTTCAAAAAAATTTTGTAATAACTTCTTCTTTGCCACCAACAATATTAAGTGCTTTGCTTGTTATTTTTTGTCAAAAAACAGGCTTACACCAGCGGTTCAACAATTTTATAATTACATTTATACAGAAATGTTTATTTTTACATAATTTTAAAGTTGGTTATATTTTGAAGAACATGTAGTAATGAAAAATTCACCTAAAAAACAAATTTTATTATTTTCCATAAAACAAGTAATTTCACATTTTTTTTCAAAGCAAATTATAAATTTTTTATGCAAAAAAAGACTAAATTTATAAGAAAGAGCTAATCAAAAATACACCTCAGATGAATCAACTTGTGTATGTTTTCGTAACAAAACCAGGCTATTCGGGGACTCGAACCCCGGTCACAAGAGTCAGAGTCTTGTGTGATAACCACTACACTAAATAGCCGTTCTGAATGACGATGCACTATTAAATATAATTGTTTGTTTATTAAATTTTAAACAGATACAAAAATATATTTCAATGAAAATTACTATTAAAAAAATTAATTCGTTGAAAAAACGTTAGAAAATTCTTTGACTGCTTGCAGATTTTGTAAACTATTAAAATTTACACACAAAATTACTGAAACGTAGTTCAGAAATATAACTTATCTTTTTAAGACTGCAAACACTAGATTTTTTTTGAGTTTCTTTCTTTTTAAAAATAAAATTTTAACTTTTACATTTTAAATCTGTTTATAATGATTCTATCCTAATTACCACTTAAATTTTGTTAATATAAAAAAAACTATGTGTTTTAATATAAAACCAGCTTTTGTATGTGATATTTTTTTGCGCATCACATGGTTTAAGTAAAAAACACTTCAAACACATTAAAAGAAAAAAAAATCGCTCATAATTAAAAATTTTACAAAATTTTTGCTTAGATCCGAAAACAATAATTTTTGCGTTAAATTTACGATTAGCTTGTAAATCAAGTTAATTTACCCGTAAGGAACAATTTATATTGCACCACTGTTAACCCATTAATTTTTTCCTTTCCGGATAATATTCTTTATAAAATACGATCCGTCATACTTGAATGCTTTAATATTATTTTTAATTCTGGTTATTAAAATTTATTATTATGATCATGGATATTAATTTATGATACCCTTTAATAATGGAGAAAAATTCACGAAAGCAGTTTATTAATGATTTAGATGAATTAATGAGCCCAGAAAATGTAAATTCTTTTTTAATTTACATCACCGAAAACAAAAAACTTTTTGATACTAGTTTGAACAAAGTTGTACAGTTTATGCTATACAAATACGAGGATGAACGCGAGTTATTAAGTAAATTAAAGATTTTGCTTCTAGCTAATAAAAATGATCAATTCGAGAAAAACAAAAAAAAAGCAAAACACAGCTTAAGCAGCGATAATTCAGAAAAAAAAAATCATGAAAACTTTAAAAGCAGTTTTTCTAAGGTTAGCATGACCAAAAACACAGAAAGCGATAATTCTTGTGATGAATCCACAAAAGAAATTTATTCAGACGAAGCAATTTCATCAGATGAAGACTTGGTTTTTTACAAAACAGGAACTGACCCAGTTTTAGAAGAGATAATTTGCAATATTTTAACTCTTAAAGGTTTGAAAAACATTGAAAATATTTACGAAAGCTTATTGTCGGTTTATGAAAGAGAAGAAGCAATTTATAAGATCATAGTTCATTATTTTTTCAGAAAAGCACATTTTAACAATAGTAATGCCGTCATAAAAGATCTATGCGAGAGATTTTGTGAATTGTGGGGCTGTGTTTTAAGTGATGATTCAAATTCTTCCGAAACAGATGTTCTATCAAATAGTAATATGTCCGAAGATATTCAAAAGGAAAAAGAAAAAAATTGTAGTGGCAATACTGGTAAGAAAAAAAATGTGTTATCTGAAAACATAGATGATAATGCTGTAAATTCAGAACAAAAAATGTCAAAAACAAATAAAAGTGAATTCGACGCTGAAATAGAAAGTAAAAAAACAAAAGTAATATCGGTTTTGAATTCCAAAGATAATAACGATGAAAAAATTAAAAATATGACAGATGTTGAAGAAAAAAACGTCGCAGAATCAACTAATATCGCAGATACACCTACTGGATGTGTTGTATCTAATAAGGCTTCCGACTTTACTACCGAAATAACTAAGAATATAGAATCTGAAGATTCTGATACCTTGAGAAAACTCGATCAAGCCATTATTATGCAAATGAAAGGTATTAAATATGCAAAGAAACTTCAATCTGATGAATATAAAATAACTATAGGTAAGAAATACATTGACCTTATACAGATAATATCTAAAAAATACCCAATCACCGATTTAAGTATCTTGTATCAATTTTGCAAAATCGATCAAATTTATTTTGACTATAACAGTGATCAAGAAAAGAAAAAAGAAAAACAAATCCAAAAATTATCGATCAAGAATTTAAATGATAGCAAAAAAGACAAGAGTGTTTCAAAATTTAATACGGTGAAATCACCTAAATTGTGTAAAGTATTCTTTCTTAATGTTTTTATTGAACCCGGATCAGAATCACAGTTTTTTAAAGTGTTTTGTTCATATCTCAAAAAAAACACATATTTAATTAATAGCATATATTATTTACAATCATACTGTACACGAAATTCTTTAAAAATGAAATGGGAAAAGATTTTTAAAATTATTGCTAAAGATTCGGATTTGTGTTTAAATTCCCTCGATGCAAAAGAAGTACCAGCAAACGTTGTTTTTAAATCAGTTTTAAAGGCAGATAATCCTTTCAGATATTATAAGTTTCTAAAGAGAATAATTGCATGTGAGTTTGATAATAACTTGATCGAAAAATTTTTAGCAAAAGTCGTTAAGAAAACAAAGATAAAACCATTATTCAAAAATGCACGAAACGATACTTTTATTGTGAATTTGTTAGAGAATAGACTTAAAACCTTAAAAGATGAGTTTAAAAAGAAGAGTGAGGATTGAATTTTTTATATTTAGTAATTTGCAAAAAAAACTTGCGCTTGTTTGTGAATTTCGAGCAAGAAGAAACTAATAATTATGTTGTTTTTGATACAAAAATTTATTAGGAAGTAAAAAAGAATTGCAAAAATCTGTTATATAGTTGCCTTAATTTTTTTTAATTTATCAACAATGTTTTTATAGATTATATATTTAATTGAAAACAAATCTAAAATATATTTATGGAATACAAATATTTGAACACACTGTTCCAATTTTCAGATCCACTGCGATAAAAAAAACTTAATTATGCAAAAACATATAAGCTTTTGGAATTTTTCGTAATAAAAAAAATCTTAATAACAATAAGTTACAAATTACAGAAAATTTTTTATAAAAATATTATCACAGACCTAAAATTATAGAGGGTTCTATTAATTTTCTTTTCAGTTTTTTTATAGGTTTTCTGGTTTATACTTTATCTTATTTCATTTAGATTAAAATATGGATAAAAACATTATTTTTTTCGATTTGCTTCTTTATATGTACATGTCTTGTTATTAAATGATAAATGTTAATGACATCAATGTAATTAAACAATAGAAAAATATCAAATAAATCCAAATTTGTGTTTGCCATGATATGCTAGTGACACAAATTGTTTCAATTTTTTAATACAAATTCAATTAGTAATGAAGCTAAAATAATATTTGATCATTTCATTTCTAATTGTAAAAATAAATATCGATATCAAAATTCATGTAAAAATGAATTAATTTGTTTTTTTATGTTGTAAAATTTTTTAACTTTACACAATATAGTTCATTAAAAAATTTCTTCGCACATACAAATTAGCTTTAGTAAAAATAGAGATTATGTTATTTTCTAAAAAATTCGAAATTTGAAAACATCTGATCATCTTAGTGTTTCAAGAAGCGGACTATAGAAGAAAGCTTATGTCATTCAAATCATACATCAGGTAAAAAATATAACAGAAAGAGATTGAAAAAACAGAATAGCTTTGCCTTATCATTTAATGTGGGTATAATTAAATTAAATTTTTTATTGCTCAAATAAAAAGTAATAATATTAATTCATAGCATTAGAAATACACAAAAAAAAAGTTCTCAATTCGTGCATAAAAATCACATCATATGCGCTTTATAGATTCTGAATTCATACCGTCCATAAAAGAACGAAAAAGAAACAGTTGAAAGTTTTGTGCTTCGGTATATTAAAAAAATATATATAAATATTCTCGAAAGATACCAAATATGGCATTGTGAGAGAATATACAGATCATCAGATCAAACGTTTTAAATGTCAGGCTTGTAAAGCTGAGATTTTCAACTACGAAAATATTAAATTCGTTAAAAATAGTCTATTTAGAAGACTAGTTGCTGATAACCCAAAGAAAAATAAAGAACAATAAAAAGAAGAGAATAGAAGAAAAAGAAAAAGAAAAAATAAAGACAATAAAAATAAATAATCTAATCATATGAATAAACAAGTAAGTAATAATAAATAATAGAATACTGATATATTTCTAAAATATTAAATTCAATTTTAAACTTTTACCTTAAAAAACATAAATAAACAATATTTCTATTCATCTTTTCACAAAGATATTCTTAAATATTCGCCATTTCAGGAATATTACTACTGGTATTAATAAGAAATTGGTGAAATGTAGCTTTTTTAAAAAAAGACTTAAATCTTATGTTTATATATATCATTTGTTTCATAATATAGTTTAGTTTTCGGTTTATCAAAAGTTTCACAACCCATCACAAGATAATATAAAAATTATAACTTATATTCTAATGCTGTATGTATAAGGTTTACATTGTAATATAAACTATGAAAAAAAATAATTTTTCTAATGCATCAGCAGACATAAAATTAACATTTATAATTAAAAAATTGGGGTTAAAATTTTAGATATACAAATATTGTCTAGAGAGCATGACAGAAAAAAACATGCGGGAAACAAATATTTTAAATTAATGTAATTATAAAAAAACGTGAATCAATGAATTTTTAATTTTTTTTGCTTAATAGTTCTATTGCTAACGACCACCATTATATGATATACAGAAGACACAAACATAGAGATAAACAAAATGTATTAAATTCTTTTAATGAAAAATTCATTTTGCTATATTAATTACAATTTTCAGTTAAAAAAATTCAATAATGTCGATAAGAAATTCGCAAATAAGAAGTTGTATGTTACCGTAAATCATTGAACATTTCATATATATAAGAGATAAGAAAACACAAAATATTTTGTATAATTTTCAAATTTCGAAATTGGAAAAATTAGCATATTATACACTGAAAAATTCAAATCTGTGTTTCTTCGTTTTTTAAAAGAAGTTTGATGGTTTTAGTGTTTTAATTATTTTTATTACATAAGGAGAAATATTTTTATTAAGTTTTAAAGTTGGAATGAAAATTTT